GGGGGGACGTTTTTAGGCCACCAGCCGACCTACCTTGCGGGGGGGGGGGGAGGCGGGGTTTATTAATCAAGAGTTAACATTTGTGCCGAAAGCTTCAAAGCTCAGAATATCCGAGCGGCACTGCCGAGGCTCCCCAGCCGAAGGGTGAAAGCTCTGGCGAAGTCTGGTCGAGGTCGTGGGCTTTTCTCGCGCCTGTCGCAACAAATGAGTCTTACAGCCACCCGGGTTACCTTCTGAGAGCACATGCTTACAGGTCCAATGCGATTCAAGGCTCGAAAGTTGGAACCACGCCAAGACAACAAGGATGCTCGCTGGATCCTGAACCCGGATCAGTCACGTACTGGCTTGGCGTGGCATGCCCATGGACACAGTTAGCGTGCAGGCACACAGACTCCCACTCTCAGGCCAAACCAAGTTAAGTGACACATCTGGCCAGTCTATCTGCCATATAGCCGGCGACACGATGCGCAAGAAGTAGTACCTAGAGTGATTTACTGAGTCATTGAAGGATCCGGGCTGCTCAGCCTGATTCAGAAGTCGTTCAGGGGCTGACGTCATTCCTGGCACCAATGCCGTCAGCGTCGAAATCGTCCTCACGGATCCTGGGATTGAAACTAGACTAGACTTGCCATCGTGATTCGGCAGAATCAGGGGTTCAAGAAAACCAGCCTGTGTTGCGAAGTCTTTTGCCCGAACTCCTGCCAACACTATGCAATCGGTGCCCTACTTCCCTTGCCTGTCCGCAGCTACCATAACATATGCAAATGAATTGCCACATGTTCCGGCTCCTGGGTGCCATCACTGGAACCGACCTGGGTATTGACAAGGTCTGAAGACAGGAGTTTCACGGCAGCGAAGGTACACCCGGCTCATTCCCCGACAACCCCTGCGCAGAGTGCCGGGTGGTTCGACCTACTCAACCCAGCATGTGGCGGCAAGATTTCGCATCGGAAAAAAGCAGTGGCCCGTGTCAAAATGCTGCGCACACTACCGAAAGCCAAAACAGCATTCCAGCAACCCCAGATAAACCGGCAGACTATCGACCTGCCACAAAGCAAAGCCGAGACGCCACACCATCAGGATCCCCCGATTGACCTAAGAGCTCGAATGTTTCGAGGCCAGCAGCGACCTCATCTGGATCAAAAAGTGGGCGTGAGGAGACTTCTGCTCTAGACTCTAGCTTTCCGGCGCACTCTGACCTGGCTCAGAAACCTTTCCTGATGGTACGATCCGTTTCTGTCATGGGCTAACAAATACCTGGAAGACCAACAGAAAACACTGCTGATTGGCCACGACGCGCCGTCATGGGACGGTCTGGCGGTCTGCAAGTCCGATTCAGCGCTTGCTTCTGCCTCCGTCGCCGGCGGTTCTGCCGAGCTCATTTCTGCTGCCTGTGCCTCAGCATGACAAGCGGATACAAGCCGGCAATTGCAGCTTGTGCCCTAACTCCCGGCAGATAGGGCTACCGCTGTGGCCGGGGTGCTGCAGCATGTGCCGATTGAGCAACCGGCTGGAATCTCTCTGATTCGAAGGCATCCGCCTCGCCGGTATGCCCGGTATGGACTTCCTTTTGGGATGCTCCACTCAGTTCTGCAGCCTGAGCTTTCGAAGCTTAGAAGAGTCCTTTGCAGTTTCCGCCGATGGGAAAATAGCAGTGGCTGGCCCGGATCTGCGGCAAAGCACAAGTTCGGCACACGAAGTGCACAAAGCTAGGATTCCTCCAAAAGCCTTGTGTCGGTGTGGGTCTGAGTGCGTGCGCATTGCATGTTCGTGCGTGCGTGGGTGTTGGTGTTGATCGAGGTCCGGTGGGCGGGCGGGCGAGCGCATCGGAAGAAAACCTCCAGGCAGCTCAGCCAGATTCTGCGGTGCTCCATGCGGCCTGCATCTGGCTTGAAGCCTCTACCTTCTTAGATTCTTGTGCTACGCCAAGCTCTGGATGGCGAAGCCCCCTGATATATGCTTTAAATTTGCTATCTAACCCAGTTCTCCTGTTTGCCAAGACGCGCCGTCATGGGACGGTCTGGCGGTCTGCAAGTCCGATTCAGCGCTTGCTTCTGCCTCCGTCGCCGGCGGTTCTGCCGAGCTCATTTCTGCTGCCTGTGCCTCAGCATGACAAGCGGACAATTGCAGCTTGTGTCCCAACCCCCGTCCCCCAGGACAGTCTGTCCAGCCAGAGTTCAGAAACGTCAACTATCTGACCCGCACGTGGCGCAGGCGTCTCGCCAGCACCTGTGTAAGTTGATCCGGCATGGTCTTGCTCGGGCATTCTCCCCTGATCATGATCGGCACGCACCTAGGTCATGCGTTAAGCTGCGAAGTTCACGGTATGCAAGCGAGGAGTTTCCTGTAACCCTTTCGGTAGCCCACTCGAAGGAAAACATTCTTTAAGCCTGTCAAGACGCACTGCCGGAGGACGGCCGACGACCAGCCGGCTCAGGAGCGCCATCTGCCTCTTCAGCTGGCTTTTTCCCTTTCAGTGTCTGGTCCGCCGGAACAGACGAGTGTTCCTGAAGCGTTGGCTGGACCTGAAGCGTGCAAAACATGCAAAAAGCATGAGGGCCAGACAAAATTGCTGGGATTCGAGACATGCTCCTGCCATTACACCGACTCGTGCAGCTGGGCTGCCCGGTCGGGAGAGTGTGTGGAGGCTTTCGTCGCTGTCGCTTGGGGCTGCTGCAAATGACTGCTTCGAGCTTCTTTGGTTGACGATCTGCCAACGGACCGAGATACGTCCTCGGCAACACCCAGTGAGTTTGGATGGGGCGCCAAACAGTACTGTCAAACAGATGTCATCATGCACAATAGCATAGTTACCTGCCCAAGCCGAAAAGCACCACCTGCACTTGGTGCCCTTGTGCCAGGAGGCTTGGTCATCAAAGCCTCTTGAGCTCTTGTCTCTAGCCGGAGTCCCTGGCGCGTCCTCTGGACGATGTGCACTTTGCAACGAGGTCTGCTCCTCAGCTGCTGCAGCTGCACGCGTTGACATCACTCCACAACATGCAGAGCACGTCAGGGAAGAGGCATCAGCCTGTGCCGAGCTAGCGGATGCTTCTACAAGCCTACCAAAACCTGCAGCTAGCACGCCTCGTGCTGCAATGCTTGCAGGTATCACGGCACGCACACAAACAAACAAGTAGTCAAGCAAGCAAACAAACAAACAAACTCGCTAAGTAACTAACCAACTAACCAATTATCGAACCAATAAACTAACTAGCTGCAGCTGATTCGCGACTCCCTGACCTCTTCGAGGCTCCTTTCTGGAGCTCGCATCGGATCGGATAGATGATAATGAGGATCTATTAGGGTATCGTTCTTCGGGCTTGTGCGACGCAGTGATTTTGAACGGCTCTCCCGGACTGTTGGAGATCTTCGGCTGTCCGGGCTGACTGGCCGATCTTTGAGATTCCCGTAATTGCCCGCGACCATGACTCGGAGCGGAGCTGGACTGGTCACTAAAGGAAGGCGTACGGGCTCTCCAAGCCGACAATCGACTCGGCGCAGCGGGGCTCACAGCTCCTGTTTCGGACTGTCTCGATCCGAGTCGGTTCGCGGCTCGTGCAGCTCGCAGCTCCTCCGCTTTTGCCTCGACCAAAGCAGCACTTGGACTTCTCCCGGACCTAGATGAAGCCCGAGAGGTCTGAGATGCCGAGCGCCGACTTCTGGTACGTAGGCCGCTTTCCAGTTCGATGGCCAGCTGCTGCAGCTTTCGGCTCGTGTCAGCATCTCCAGACAACGAATCTGCTGGCTTGATGTTCTTTGACTTCGCCGCTCCAGGCTTCATCGGACAACAGGCGCCGCAACTTTCAATCCTTGAACGACTTCGGCAGCTCGCTTTTCTTGGCAGAACTTCGCACTCCAAGATACATCAAGGAGGCGGAACCTCTTTGAACAGAAGATGTCAGCCACCATAGCCGAAAGAAGCAAGACGAGTTCACAACATGAATTTGTTTGGGGCATCTGGGTCTCTGACTCCAGCACAACACCATCTGAGCACTGAAATCTGACGTCATGTTGAAGATGACAAGCAAAGTCAGCCCTCTAAACAACCAGTTTAGAGTTGCGATAGCTTGCATCATGTGGAAAAGAGTTTTACTTGGAATCCACAAGAATCTTCTGTGGCGCTTCGAATCTTCCGAAGGATCGCCAGAGTGTCATACCAAGAAACTCAGAGCCAGAATTGGCGATGGATGGGGAGAATCAGAGCAATACACAGCTTGAAGGTTCAGCTCAAGAGTGTGGTGCAGACAAGAGGACAAAGTCACGCGCCTAGATATTGGCCTGGTCCAGGACCGTCCAAGTGCGAGGAAGACCTGACGGAGCTGAATTCGGAAGCTTTTGGGGAAGTCTTGGAATCATTAGCTGAGGTCGGCCACCGGACGTGGCTTAGATCTGTCATCTTCCTCGACTGCCTGAGCAGGGGGAGGGCTTGTGAGTAGGCGTTTTGCATGGCAGGCCGAGGGAATGAGGCAGATGCAAGTCGCGTCGCTCCTTGGAGTTGCACCAGGTATACCTCAGCACGAAAATGCGCTTTTCGGCAGTCTGCGACGCTTGAAAGCACTGGGTGGACTGCCCTGGAGCCCGCTTGTAGCCCGGGTGTGGGCCTCGGAGGTTGGCCTCCAAGACCTGTCAAAAAAATGGAGAACGACTGCAAGAGTAGAAAGACTGTGAGCATGTGAAGCGCAACCTTTCAAGCAATTCAGATTCCACCACACCTCGCCCTGGAAGCGCTGGTGGGGCTGGAACTAAGTAGCGCAGGACTCACACATTGAGGTGTCCCAATCTATCCCAATCTGCCAAAGGCTTACAATGCACGAGGCCGCAGAACGACATGCGGATGTTTGTCCAGTTGTCCAAATAATTGGCTAGCTACAGCTGTGGAAGTGCCTCGACTGAGTTGCCAGCCTCATCCTTAACTTCAAAGCGCTTCTGGCCCAGCCTCCGCTCCTCGTTTTCGGCCGTGTGCGCAGGAGTCACAATGGTTCACCAAGGACTTTGAAGCAGGCCTCGCGGTCAGCCCATGCATGCAGTTCGTCGCGTTTCCTGCAAGGTTCGGCGAGCAAGATGCAAGCACGGCCAATAGCGCTAGGACCCTCATTATGAACTTTCTTACTCTTGAGCATCACTCAGCAAGTCACTCGCTGTCTTGCCGAAGCAACCATTGCGGGGGGAGCTAGTTATCCAGGTGTTGGACACGGCCCCAACGGTGGCCAAGAAAGCGATAGGTTTCGACAGGAAATGGGACAGGAAAGGAAATGGGACAGGAAAGCAATTCAGTAATCGACTTTCGGCATGTTGTCGCCCGGCTGTTCCGGGAATCTTCCGGTGGGCTCAATCGGCGCAAGTGGAAATTAATCCGCTGAAACTGTGGTGGTTGAGGTCACTAGAGTATGTCGACAGTGCCTTGTTCCCGTCGGGCGATGTCTGGCATGATTGACCATCCCCCGAATCCCATGTTGGTGTTTTTTGATCTCCTGTCTGGCGTGTCGGAGCGTTGGTCGGAGTCCTGCTTTGGGATCTGCGCCCTTCTGTCCTTTAAGTAGATGACTTTTTGTTGGACAGGCCCATCGATCGAAACCCCACGGCCGACCATGACAAAGGCCGAAAAAGGCTGGCATCCAGATCCACATGCCACGTGTTTTCTATTTACAGACCCTTTCCGCTGCCAAGGGTTCAGGTCCGAGGTGATATTCTTTGAGACTCTGCCCGGCTGGCTGTCAAACAGCTCCGCCCGCCACAACTTGGCTCAGGAAACCGAAACTGAAGTTCCACACATGAGGGTTTTCGTTCTAAGCGTTGTCCTTGGACGGGCGTCAAACTTCACAATGCAATGGCTGCTTTCAGTTGGGTTTAAGCTTGCGACCAACACCAGGGACGGCCGGGACGGCTCTGAAAGATGCACAGGTGGGGTGTGCTGCCTAGGCCTACGCCAACTGCCGCCCCATGTTGGCCGAAGCATCATGGACACCGCCTGCGCCCGGTACACCGCTTGGAACGGAAAATAACCGGAAAAGTGCCTGCGCACCACCCGCCCCACACCTAGGCACACCGGCCGCGTTGTGACCCTGTCCGCCACCGCCCGGTGACGAGGTGAATATTCTGACAACTATTCGGCAGTCGTTCGCCTGCACGCATTCAATCGGACTAGCTGTGGTCAAGTGTGCCAACCCCGCACAGATGAAAGCCGCTTGCTGCGATATGCTCCACGAGCAGCCTTCGTTCAACGAGGACTTCCTGGCGGTGCATCATCTCCTTTTGCTCTTGCTCCTGGCCATCACATGCATCTAGTTCTAAGTGCGGCTCCATCTACTGCTGAATCCGGGCAAGGTAACAGCTGCGCTTCTAAAGCTGTGCAAAACAGGCCTGCCGGTCCTTCCTTGCAAGTGTTTAGCTTAGCCAGAATCCACAAAATTACAAACATGACCTCGCCGCCGCCTCCTCTTCTCACAAAATATACTGCAATCCACTTTCCCTATCTCGAGCGTCTCAAGTGTCTCGAAGGTGCTTGGGGAACAACTTATGGTCTATGACGCCGCAGAGAAAAGCTGGCAGGCATCACACATCGCTCACTTCGGAATTCTGGCAGAATCGAGTTCCCAAGGTCATCAAGAGTGGTGCCTGTACTTGCTGGTGCACTCGGCAGCGTCAGACTCACTCAACACCCGGACCAAGTCTCATCAAAATCGATTGCTGGATCGCTCGAACAGTACTGGCCTAGGCTTCTCATCAATCTATTCTGGCACTTTGGAATGTAGAACTACAGCCGAGAATCCGAGACCTCGGCCCTAGAATCCAACAGAAAGCATGGAGCTACCCTACATTGAGGCCGTTTAAATGCCTCGGTCAATGGTCTTGCTTTGCAACCTCACATACACGGCGAGCCCTTGTGGCGCCTGAATCGAAGGGAATTTTCGAGTCCTCTGCATCGCGGCGAACTGCGGCACAGGGGTTGGTGCAGCAGTGCAACGAACACTTATTTCCGGAACGCGCGGCCAGCTTGTCAGTTTGCAGCACGGGCCACGCAGCTTTTCATCTCGACGCCGCATCTGTCTGTGCGAGTGCAGTGCAACTTCTTTTGCGTTGCACCGGATTGGAGGTGGCGTGGCTTCGCGACAGCAGCCTCTTTTGCGCCACGCTTCAGAATCGGCACATCTGCTGTCTTGACTCAAGATTTTGCATCTTTTCGTGGAGATCGCGACCTTGCCGGTTTCTTTGCCCGGCCGGGATCATCTCCGTCCTGCTCTGCACAAGGCATATCTTCACTGCAGGGTGCAGGTTTGCTGCCATTTGTTTTGCTGATGCCGTCCTCTTTGCAAAGCCATGCAACTTTCATGCAGGAGCCCTTCCTGGATTGAACAGCCAAAGAGAGACAGCCGGTGCTCTGATATTCTGCTCTGCGCGAAGCGACTGAACTTGTCAAGCCGCATGTCCCTGCCGTGCATGGCCGCCAAAGCCGCAGAGGCTTCTTCAAAGGTCGCATACTCGAGCATGCAGTAGCCTCCCCGGCAGGAAGAGGAAGCAGAAAATGTGCCCTTTTGCTTCTAGTAACTTGTTCTTCTTCCTGCCGGTCATCCAGTGATTTCAAAAACGTGGATTTCCCTGGCAGACACTAGCTTCCGGTGCCTAGTTTCTCCTGTCTCATGCATCACTCGAAACTCTAGACTCTAGACGACCCAAGTGAGGCTAAGCGAATTCGTGGTTACAGATCCAGGCCAGCTGAGTGTTTGTGCCCTGTGCCTGTTTCGTACAGGCTTCCGATGTGCTCGCTGGCTGAGAGGTTACTTCTGCTCCACTGTTGACAAAGCTGGCAACGGCGAGGCTCGAAAGGGATCGAACCGGCACTGCAGTCGAGAAGCCTTTCGTTTCGCCTGTCATCCTGCAAAGACTCTGATTTTTCCCCGGCAACTGCAACAGCAATCTGATTCTGCAGTCCCGAGGCCCGGGGGCCCCCCTGTCCTGTTTAAGGGTAGATGTAGGCTGACAATGGTGCCAAAAGGTCGGAAGGCTTCCTCCAAGTCATCGTCTTCCACCTGCGACACACAAGCCAGGCTCACACTAGGAGATTCGGAAACTCGTTCGGACGTGAAGTTCGCCGGGAGCGGTGGGAAGCGTACCGGCACCTTGAAACCGAACATGAACAGTGGAGCACCCGGGCATGAAATCCGAAACCACGACCGTTCCTTTAAACTTTAAATCTCCTTTGCGCTACAGAAAACCATTTACTCTTCAGGCAGTGCTCCCATCACGGAACGCTAAAAACCAAAGCCAACAGCCTGGGAACCGTTGTTCCAAAAAACCTCACCGCAAATTCGAATTTTCAGACAGAACCGTTCCAGCCGAACTTGCGCGAACGCACATGTTTCAGAGTGTTCCTTGCCTGCCTCTCCTGGAAGACCAGAGATAAACAGGCCCCAGCCCTCGCGAGATCTTGCAGGCTTCTCAGCGCCAACGGCCATGGAGAAATGATTTGTGACCTGTGTGCTCCGTGTCTGCTAGGAAGCTGAGGCTGATAGGGTCAAATTCAGTCGGCTATCCATGCTAGCGCCCTCCAGGGCGCATGCGCCTTCGGCGACAGCTTGAGCCGTCGCTTTGCTCGTGGGATGCCATGACTCATTGCGCTGCCAGAGATGTACCCGGGCATGCCAAAGCAAGGCACCCTGCCTGCTTTTCGTCTTCATATTTGTCGATGTTCCATTGCTTCTGAGCCTGCATTCAGGTCCAGGGTAGCTGTTTAACACCAATGCGAGGCAAGTGCTGGTCCACGGCGAAGCAAACAAAGCACACAGCAACGCCAATTTGCTCTTACTCCAAGACTGCGTGGCCAGGCCATCACTAAACAAGCCGGGCGAGCTAGATGAAAGTGGTAGTTTGCCAGCCAGTGAACGTGGTCCACGATGTCCAAACCTCATACAAAGATCACAAGCAAGCTCATATTACGATCACAGAGCAAGCCCCGCTCAGACGATCGACTGCAAGCGGCAGAAAGACTCGATGTACCAAGGCAGCGACGTGGAAGATCTGGCATCTCCTTGGCCGAGCATCGCCGAGCATCTGCGCTGTCATAGTGTCACACATAGGACCGGTAGGACTGCAGCACCTCCGCATCATGTCTGCCGAGGAGCATGGTACAAGTGCTCGAAGAAATGTTGCGTGGGCTTGTGCCTCAAAACGGCACTGAATTGAACAGAGTTCCTGGCGTTCCTTCTCACGTCGTTTGCAGAAGCAGCTTTGATAGCTACATTTCCGAGGAGATTAGTGCAGCAGAACACTCAGTGTCGCACCGGTGTTGCTTCAGGCACTCCATGAACATCTGGCAACATGCCACAAATGTGTACTGAAGCAGCACTCAGGAATTTAGCAACGGGGCTGCTAAGTTGCAGGGTGGTTCAAGCTGTCCCGTCAACTCAAAGAGCGAGACCTTATGCTCTGCATACTTCCAGCCACCTGCGCGGCAATCCGACGCGTGGTCGAACACCCATGTCTGCAGAAATCCCTTCCGGTTGATGGGCAAATCCAGCCTGTTTGAGATCCGCCATGCTCCACCACCTGGAAGAGACGGCTTTGATGCGTCATCCACGTCACCAGCCAAACTAGCCCACTGACTGGCCTCCGGGAAGGAAACTGAGGGCAGGGTGTATTGTCCAACGCCTGGAGTGGTCCTCGGCTTGCAGCTTCTGCTTGCTCAGTGCTTGGTGCCGAACCCAGCTCTTCTCAAGCTCCACCCCAATGCACCAGATCGGGCTGTCCATTTTCTGTGCTGGCGATGCATCAGATTGCGAGATTCTCCAAAAGTGCTGCGATGCTTCCAGAGACGGAAAAGCAGAACGTCAACGAGCTCTTGGGAAAAGATGTCGGTGGCAGTTCCAAGCTGAAGTCCGCTCTTCTTTCAGGGGGATTTTTGGCAGAGAGTTCATGTCATGAGCCCTGGCTTAGAACAGCCACCACATCATGTGGTTGGGTCAGATGACCCCGCAGCACTCGAAGCTGCGAGTAGGCGCAGATTGCAATCGCACAGCTGTGCCCTGGCAGTGATCTGTTTTCTGGATGGACTCACCATGGCTACAGTAAGATCTGGATTGGCCACTTTGCAGAGCTCGTTGCTCTCTGCCAGACTTCTTGGCCCACCCCGCTCAGAGGCTTGGGGAGGGTGCCCAGGTGCGATGTTTTGTGTCAGCACTTTGCAATGATAACACCGTGGACCTTAACGATACAATGAGGACTGTGTCCATACCCTGTTGTATGTTTCCCAAAGAAGAAACTAAGTTTCCACTGTACGAGCGCAGAAACAGCAAACCACTGACCAAGTTTGGTCAGTTGCTGTGACATGTCTTGATTCACAAGGCTTCCTCTCGAAAGCAGGGCTCTCTACGGATTTACGGAGCTTGGCTTGAAACCAATGTTTGACGCACTTAAACTGAATCGATGAAACGGTGAGCGCGGCCGCAGGCGATTTCTGTCAGCGGTGCCACTTGATCCATGTCTGATCGGGCTGCGATCGTCCACGGACCCAAATGTTCATCGCATACTTCACCTGTCATGAGGAAGACAGTTGTTCAAGCTGCTGGTTGAAATCTCTCTAGGTTTGTTTTGGGCAAGGGGGGCACACAATAGGCCTCAACAGAGACTGACAAAAAACTGCGAGCCATCGTCACTTGCCCGCCTGGTTGCCATTCACAGGGAGTGCTTCGTGCAGAACCTTCTTCTCCGGCGTGCCTGCACCATTCTGGAGTATGGCTTGTTGACACGTGGCAGGACAGACTGCATGCAGCATCATGGCAAAATAGACACCTCCCCAACTTCTCCAAGGCTGACCCGCCTGTGGCATCCACGTTTGGCCATAAGATGGCGGATCCCTTTTGTGGAGAGACTTCCACTTTCAGCTCCGGAAAGGAAGTCTCTCCCCCGGCACCTTCATCCACAGAAGGGATCCTACCGTTGCATAAACGCTTGTAGTGCGGATGCTCTTGGTTTGGGCCTTTCGGCACCGTGTTCAGGTAAACGTGCAGTGTTGCCTCATTGCCGGGCAAAGTGAATGCATGTGAAGCTTGCAGTCTCCGTCTGATGATTTTTTGAGCCCCGCCGTATCTCTCCAAGATGCCATGCGTTGACCAAACGCCCAGAGTCCAGGGTGCTTCTCACCAATCCAGTCAGTGTGCTTTCCTAAGAGGATGCCAAGGCATTTGCGCAACATCCCGCAAGGAGCGCATGCTTTGCTCCAGGCCCAAGGTTCCGAACTTCTGCCCCGGTGTGTATCGCTCCAGCTGGAGCGGCTCAATGAAATCCTCCGGCACTTGCAGCGTTCTGGCAGCCCACTCGCGCACGGCTCTGACCTGGGAGATGCTCTGCTTCTCTCGATAGTCTCCATGTTCTTCCACTTTCTTCTTTGTGCTCTCTCTGGTTGTCAAATCTAGCAATGTTGTTGTTCACTTATGCTGCCTGTTCATGATGCAGGTGGCAGCAAAATCCGATGCCATGTCAGAGACAACCAAGACTACACACTGCAGCCATGTCTTGCAAAAACCGCAGGAGGGTGGAAAGAGAACATGTGCTATCATGTCAGTGCTTCTTGAGCAGGCCTAGCGCCCCCTGCACGCGCGCACACTCCAGCCAATGGGTCTTAGCGGTGCCGAAAGCTCTGGCTCACTTACGAGCGAGGCCTGAACGCATGCATCCTACGTCCGTATCTCAACATTTGCATGGATCAGATCACGACGGCCACAATGGTTACAGTACATATGGGTAAATGCTGTCTACACTCGTACTGAACAGTCAAGAAGCTGACGGGTGCGACTCGTGCCAGGCAAGGAGTGCTGTCGAAGAAGTCCGCGAGGTGCGCAAAATCTCTTGACGAGTGGCCCTGTCGTTGCTGGCGATGAGCTGACCTTGTAGAGCTACAAGACATGGCGGAAGCCGCACAGCTGGGAATAGTTAGTTGCAAGTTCTTTGGGTTCACAATATCGACCCGTGGGGGGACAAGAATGCACTAGGCTCTACTGCTCTGCAATCAGGGCCCCGAACTCCTGCGAGTACAGTAAGTGGCAGGCTCGAGTTCATCCAGAGCTTCTGCGCGTCTGCAAGTTGCACGAGCGCATCGCAGTGCCTGGCCGGCACGGCCTGTGCAGCGAAGGTCATCCCTCATGATCAATCATGCAAAGCAAGTCGCTTGAAAGAAGCCCCGTTCGTGCATTGTGTCTAGTAAAGCGAGAGGAAGAGGGTAGAGAGACAGGAAAGGGCAGACAGCAGGAGGCGAAGGAAGGAACCAAGTCAAAAACAAAAAGATTGGAAGGGCAAAGAGCTTGAGGAGAACTTCTTGAATGGGCAAACCTCCGGCAGGAGCAGCACTGGCAAAGGATCAAGGATCAAAGTCTTCGCATTGGACTTTGCGCTGGACAATCCTTACTGCAGCCAGCATCGCAAGACGCTTTATGCCATCATGCTCGCTCTCTATTTGCCACATCTTGTTTAGGTTAGCCACCTGTAAGTGTGTTCCAGAACTTCGATGCAACGCTCGTATCCACTTTTGGAGAGGGCTTGCCGAACCTCAGGCGGTACAGGACGACACGCATAAACTTGTGTTCAAAGCCTTGATGTTTGCAGCCAGGACCGGGTGGCGGATCAAAAAAAATTAAACCACAAAAACATGGTTGATGATCAAAAATTAAACCAGCACCAATGCAACACGGTTGCAGAAAAACCTGAGACTGAAAGACCAAACAAATCAAACTGGGATCAAAAAGGAAGCTTTTGTCTGCCTTCCTTCCTTCCTTCCCTTCCTTGCGTCCTTTCTTCCTTCCTCGTTCCTTTCCCTCCTTTCTTCCTTCCCTCCTTCTTTCCTGCTCTCCGTCCCTCCTTCATTTCTTCCTTCCTTCCTTCCTTCCTTCCTTGTTTCCTTTTTTTGGGTGGTTTAGTTTTTTGATCCTTATAGATTTTTTGTCCCTATCCCATTGCCAGCTAGAGGCAGTCTGGTACAAGGCTGCTGAGCACGACTGCAAGACCAAGCAAAAGCCCGCTTCTGCTCTTCGGTTGCCTTCCTTAGATGTGACCCCAGCAAAAAACCCATGCGGCGCAAAAAAAGGCGTCAGAGACATGACAGTCTAGCGTCTCCTTGCAGAAGCCCATGGCAACCTGCAGGACGGCAAAGAGGTCCGGCTGCTGCCACTGAACCCATGCCTCACAGCACTCAAACAAATGCCAGGCAAACATAGATAGCTCTGCAGTCTGCAGCAGTTGCAAATTTGCAAATGCTGGGAGATGCCGTGCACGAACCCGTCCCGGGAGCTAATTTCTCATGCGTTAATTCGTCAAGTGGCAAAGCCGAATGCAAGCTCCGCGAGTGATCGCGGATATGTTTCGATCAGCGCGGCTTCAATGGCAGCCTCTGCCAACATTCGCCATACAGATGCCTGAAACTTTTCGAGAAGCTCGCTAAGCACAAACTAATTAGCACGGACAAACAGGGTCTTCTTCTATTTCAGGCATGTCACAGCTCTGATTTCGGAATATGCCATGGACATCCTGAGCTTAGGCTGTGAAAGCCCGCGTTTGTGAACTTGCCTCAACAAGTACACTCACTAGCAGCCGGACTAGCTGCAACAGAGCAGGACCGTCATTGACTAAGCCCGACTAAAGCGTTGCAGTGTCAGAGCCAAGTCGCACTAAGAAGCCAAGCTCGGCACCGGAAAGCTCCGGGAGGATATCTTTCAAGGCTTGAAGTAGCAGCGAGCCTAGCCACTTGTCCCTCGAGTTGGGTCCAAAATGATTCAGAATGGTGACCATGCTCGTCCTTGGGATCGGAGACCATCGGGAGGAAGTAAGAAGGAACTCTGAACCCTAGGCGTCCACAGTACCGAACTGCAGGCTTGTTGCTCATTGCGGCGCTGCGACGCCATCGTCAGCTCCTGATCGGTCGGGGTTCCGGATGAGCCTTGGGCCTAGACGACCTGCAGAGTCCAATCCATCCTTCTTGAGGTCGACCAAGTAGTCGTTAGCAGCGATCTCGAGGCTTTCTTCCACCTGCTGTCGACAGACTAGGCCTAGGAGGCATCACCGTGCCAGGCCACAGTATCTTCCAAGTCGCCTCGACAAGGCTGGGCAAGTTCTCCTCTTCGGCTTCTTTGGTGGGGGGTGTCTCCTGCACGGGTGGCTCCTGGGTCGCTGTGACGGGTCTTTGCACTTGCGTCACCTCTCTTCCTGTATCCTGAGGCAATGGGGACAGTGGCTCCAGCACTGCCCACAAAAAGCGGAGAAGGCGACACAGGATAGTGACCTTTCGAGCCGAGAGTCCGAAGATGTTGGTCGAAATCTCAAAGGAATGAAAACGCAACCAAGATGTTGTAGCAGTGCCTTAGCAGCATTTTTTCACGGACGGAACCGGGTCGAAGACTCTATAACTAACCCATGAAATCGAAATGCGTCTGCATGCCCAGAGCATAACAAGCCGGTCCGAGTGAACAGTTTAACAACTGAGCTCGTCCACCAGGACTACCAACGCTTTCGCGGCCTTTCGAAGTCGAAGCTGCAGCATTGCCGTGAAGTCAGAAAGCACGAGTGGGAAGTGTCTGCATGGCCGTTGCGTTTGTACTGTGCGTCGCGAGTTGAAGTACACTGCTATCTTTAAGCCGGTTCTGCCATGAAGTTGATGTGAGGCTGGCTCTAGACCCTAGTGTCGCAAGAAGCCTGGTGACGGCAGCGTGCGAGCACAAAGGACTTCCCGCGCACAAAGGATACCACTGCTACAATTCGGTCGGTGCTTGGCAAAGATGGCTAGATTGCCGCCCTGAGAAGGGCCTTCACGGGAATGCTGAATTGCTCTGAGTTCTCCACTCACCCTCGGTACCATATTCAGCATCTCGCACTTGAAGGACCGGAACCTGCTCATCTTCTGGCGTCACTTGCAAACGCTAACATCTCTCTGGGCCACCTTGAATTTGCCCTTCTTGTGCGTAGGCCTGTGTCGTTGGCATGACCGACCCAACCCCCGCAAAACGGGCAAAGCTTCTGCACAGCACGCAAGACAGCCTCCCAAAGGAGTAGCTAGCACTGCCGTGAACACCCGACGGCAACTGGAGAGGCTGCGCCTTGGTTACCAGAAGGCTTTGAGGTTGGAGATGGGACAATGGAAACAAGCAGAAACGGCACCGTCAAGAGCAGCAAGAGCAAACGCATCGATCATTCCCGTTCAGACCCCTGTTGAAGAAACCAAAGGCTTGCAGTACACCAGGCTCGAAGATGTAATGTAAGCATGACCTCTGCACTACAAGCCTTGTTTGTGCCGGGGCATCTCTGCCACACAGCTGACACGGTTGATGAAACAGCTGCAATGGAAAAAGCATGTCAATGTGATACCGATACCAATCACAACCACAAGAACGGCTTCCAAAACCAAGTAGTGGATGCTGCATTAACAATAGCAGTGGCGATTGTAGTGATACTGTTTATCGTCATTATTACCACTACTTCTTCTACTACTACTACTACTACTCCTACTACTACTACTCCTCCTCCTCCTCCTGCTGCTGCTGCTGCTACTGCTACTGCTACTGATACTACCTACCACAACTACAACTACAACTACAACTACAACTACAACTACAACTACAACTACAACAACAACTACAACAACTACTACTACTACTACTGCTACTGCTACTGCTACTGCTACTGCTACTGCTACTGCTACCACAACTACAACTACAACTACAACTACAACTACAACTACAACTACAACTACAACAACAACTACAACAACTACTACTACTACTACTGCTACTGCTACTGCTACTGCTACTGCTACTGCTACTGCTACCACAAC